GGGCCGACTGACCCTTTGCCATCCCTGCAGCCCAACGTGGAGATGCTGTGGGCCATGCGAGCCTCCCAGCACGCCGAGGTCTACTTCAATGTAAGGCTTTAGGGGGGCTGCGCCTCCATCCTGGGGACCCCCCCTCTATAGAACTGGGGGGGGGGGGCCCTATCCCCCTTTGTCCTGTGTCCCCCCCCCCCCCCATTCCCATCCCCACAGCTCATCTCCTCGGTGGATCCCAAATTCCTGACGCTCACCAAAGTGGACGAGCAGATCTATGGGGAGTTCAGGAAGGCTTTTGGGGGGCTGCGGGTGGACGTGTTGGACCCCGAGGAGCTCAAATCAGAGCCAGCAAAGGAGGTGGGTGCTTGAGGGGGGGGGGTCCCACACTCATCCCTACCCACGGATGGGGTTGGGGGCTGTGAGCCCCTGCCCCCCCCCCCCCTGGCATTGATGCTCCCACAGAAATGGAGGCCGTTCTGTCTGCGATTCGAGGGGGTGGTGGAGGATTTCAACTACGGCACCCTGCTGCGCCTGGACTGCCGGGGGGGGTACAGCCCTGAGAACACCATCTTTGGTACTGAGAACACCGCCTGTGCCTCCTCCCATCCATGGGGCTGTTGGGTACCATCACCCCCCCTCAGCCCCAACTTTATCCGTGGGCTCAGTTGGGTACCCGGATCTCCCATCTTTATCCATGGGGCAGTTGGGTACCAGCATCCCCCATCATTATGGGCCCAGTTGGGTACCTGTATCCCCACCCTTGATCCGTGGGTCAGTTGGGAATCAGCATCCCCCAACATTATCTATGGGCCCAGTTGGGTACCTGTATCCCCCATCCTTTCTTATCCATGGGGCTGTTGGGTACCAGCATCCCCCATCATTATCTGTGGGCCCAGTTGGGTCCCACTGTTCCCCATCGTTATCCATGGGTGCCTCCCATCCTTTACCCATGGGGTCAGTTGGGTGTCATTGTCCCCCATCCTTTATCTATGGCACCAGTTGAGTACCAGCATCCCCCACCCTTTATCTGTGGTCCCAGTTGGGTTCCAGTATCCCCCATTGTTATAGATGGGTCCAGTTGGGTACCAGTGCCCCCCATCCTTTATCCATGGGCTCAGTTGGGTACCAGTGCCCCCCATCCTTTATCCATGTTGGGTTCCAGAATCCCCCATCATTATCTCAGGTTGCCTCCCATCCTTTACCCATGCCATCAGTCCGGTGTCACTGTCCCCCATCCTTTATCCATGGGCTCAATTGTGTACCAGTGCCCCTCATCCTTTATCCATGGGCCCAGTTAGGTACCAGTGC